ACATTCTGACAGCACTTCAGACAGCAGCTTTGTGCCCCGCCAGCTGCTTGTTCCATGCCTACCTTGGTGTTTTTGTATAGACAGCACTTCAGACAGCAGTATGCTGTAGTCGGCAATCTTCCGTTTTGGTATAGAGTGGGAAAGGGAGGGGGTGATGCTACTGCTGTAGTCGAACGGTGGGACGGACGTGCAGTTCAGTTTTTGGGCACGCATACGGTGCTGCAGGGATTTTTAGGTGTACCTCTTCGGGCTCTTGGATACCTTTTTCTCGTTATATGTGTGCGTGTTCTTTAGATCCTCAGATGGCTCTAGCACTTTCGTGACCACTCGCTGAGAGTCTTTGCTAGATTTTGGCATGTAGCAACTGACGTACGGTTTAATGTGAAGACAACAACAACAACATACTCCACATACGATCCCTCTAAACAGTTTTTTTTTGCAAAACAAAACAAAAAGCGTACCCCTAACGGGCCACACTTTTCGCAAAAAAAAACTATTATTAAAATAAACTCAGGTGATGAAAAATACACGCACGCACGCACAAGGACATATAAAAGCTCAACGCAAAAAAAAAACTATGATAACCTAAAACTTCAAACGCCTGCTGTATGCAAAGACATACATGCGATACAAACAAAAAAAAAGCATCCGACAAAGGGGAAAATGTGGCCTTCAACAGGCACAGGTTGCATGCTCACCTGCTGCTACCATTCTCTCTGTTGCCTGAGGCATCGGCTGGTGAACCCGAACACTGATGACCCTCGGTGAGGTGGGTTTTGTCTCTTCATCAATCTGCTGTAAAGCTGCCACCCTGTGATTTCCGTCGATGACTCTCAATTTTATGTCTCCGGCGGCCAACACCGTGCCAAGTGACTGCTCTTGAGGGAGTGGGTTAACGAGACAAACGATCGGCGCATAACTTTCGTCAAATCCGTCCGATTCAATATGCTTTTTCAAGGCAACGATACCAGCCTGCCTTTGCGCCCGCCCGATGCTCGTCAGCTCCAGACCACGGATGGAGACCCGATGCGAACCGAGGTAGAATTTGGCAAGCAGCTTCGATATCCCAACGGTGGATGCTTCATCAGCTTCCGCCGCCGCTGCCATGTTGTGCAGAGGGAAGGGAGGGATACTTTGGGGAGGGGCAAAATGAGCCACTGCTGTGCATCCGATTATCAAGTAATTTTGGGGCATTGGGGCATTTTGGGGCATGCCCCAATTTTGGGGCAAGAAAAAAAAACACTTTGATCTCGCCGCACCGAATCGCTCAATTTCAGCGAAATCTCACCGTAATAATATCAAAGGTACGGGAAATAACCAACGGCAGCTGTGTGATGTATTCCAGTATGTGTAGCTGTGGGCGCTAGGTATGTGTGCGTGCGATTGAAGCTGCCGCTGCTGTGTGGATCATATTCGAGTGGCCGAGCTGGAAAAGTCTGCAGCCGCAGTAGTTGGTGATTTGAGAATGCACGAGAGAGGAGTTGTGTTGTGAGGTATGAAGTCTAGATGTGGACTATACGAGGGCGGAGTTGTGTTGTGAGGTGTGGTTGTAGAAGAACTCTTCTACTATTGTACTGCTGTGCGTCTGCGTTGGTTGGACTCTGCATATGATACAGCAACAGAGCAAGATCTGTTCGTGCTGTTGTACATGTTGCTGCCGAGGTGTGCTGTTTCTTTTCTTGTTTGCTTGAAGTCCGGCACGCCTGCTTGCCGCACACGGTTACGTCCCGCACCCCTCTGACTGGAGTTTGTGTACACTAAAGTGAGCGTGTCTGCGTAATGCCAACCACGAGAGCCGAGCGGAGGAAATCTAAATGCGCTTGCCCTTTGTGCGTTTGCAGTGTTCCACATCATCATAGACCCGGGGTATCATATGCACTCCGAGTATCATATTTTTTTACTTGTTTCGNTCCGTACCGGTCGTTCGGGACGTACCGGTCGTTCGGGACGAGACGAACGGAATATCTATCCCGTCTCCCACGCAGGAGGCAAACACATACGCCAGACAACAAAACGCACAGAGGAGGACAGAGCCATCACCCTTGACGGTCCACGCATGGAATCATAAATAATATTTAATTGTCTGGATCAAAGGTGGAGAAAGAGCAGGCCCCGCCGATAAATACATCTACACCAACTCAACACCAGCAGATATTTCGAGTCCCCAACCCTCGGATCGACATGTGCCCACTGGCGGGTCCTTCGGCGGGCGCGGGCGATGTCGCAGGCCTTGACGGAGAGTACCTGTACTCTGAAATATTCTTGCTTTCGAAAAAGTCGGATAGTTTCTTCCGCTTGAGTGCAACATTGCCTGTCAACTTCAACCCTATGGCTTTCATGTAGGCGATCGCGGCTGCGTCCGTGAGGGTGCTGATCTGTTCAAGCTTCAAAGGCACCCCGCTAGCGACTCTTTCACTCGCTCTATCTCTGTCCCCTCTGGCGCGCTTCGATGCTGGCGGCGGTGTCGAAGTAGAAGTCGAAGCAGAGGACGTCCTGACTCGAGATATCTCGTTCACGGCTGCGAGGTCGGCGGCGGCATCTCGGTCCCTTCCTGCCTTGGCCGCTATCTTGGATCGATTTCGCGCCTTCTCTACCGTAGTAGGCGCACGGATAAGTTTCGGCGCGCCACCCGTAAGTGCTTGTCTGTAATACCTTGCGTTGTAACGTTTCGTCGCCTCGGTCATCACCTGGCTCTTCCCGTCGCAGACCATCGTCGCTTCCGCGAGACAGGTGGCAAAGGCCTCCAGCTCTGCATCACTTGTCGGAGTCAACGCTTTAACCCTCTCCAGGGTCGGGTGCCTTGAAGGCAAACGCCGCCCCCCCCCGTAGTTACCGCGCGAGATGTCCTGGGCGGCGGCTTCTCCAGCGTTGCTGCGGTAGGTCCTGCTGGTCGCACCTCCCATCACCCCGCCGCCACTGGCACCCGCAGCGCCCTCGGCAGCAACTCCTGTCGTCGTTGACGGCAACAACAGCGGCGGGACGGCCCCCGCCCCCTCGGCAGCCCCTCCTGTCGCCGTTGGCGGCAACAGCAGTGGCGGCACGGCCCCCGCACCGGCGGAAGAACCTGTCGCTATCGTCGACGGCATGAGCGCCGCCGCTCCCGGCCGACCTCCTCTGTTGGTCAACGGCAACGGCATCACCCTCGCACATGCACCCACCGCGGTCCCCGCCGGAGCCCCCGCTCCTGCCCCGACGGCCGCGGCCCCCGCCCGGCTGGTATCTCCTGCCGTCGTTGACGGCAGAGAAGTACGGGTGAGGACTAGCGAGTTCGCCGCGGCGGTTTTCGCGTTTGTCAGAGCGTTGGCTCTCCTCTGTTCGGCGTATTCGAACCCCATAGGCTCAAAGTCCTCCGCGGCCACCTGAAATGAGTCATCCAATAGGGTGACGCACAAACGTCAGAGAGCTCGCGTCATATGGATCGGGGTGGGCGTACCAAACTTCACGGCACCGACGGCACATAAAAAAATGAAGGCTACGAATGCAGAATCCCTCGACGTTGAAAGTGTCCTCCCATGAGTATACAACTGGGGCTCACCGTCGGAGTGTCACCCGCTCGGGGGAACGGGCGCGAAGTGAGGATCGACTCGGCTGCAGCGTTCGCCTTACGCTCCCTCCAGACCCACAGGGTAGACTGCTTGCTGGTGCGGCCAAGCTTTCGGTCCATGTCGTGGTTGTGACGATGAATGCGTTGCAGCAGCCTCGCATCGCACGCTTCCGCACCGAGCCGAGCCACGCCGTTCACCAGGCGGTTGATGCCACCGTGGAAGTTCTCGTTCTTTCCGGTCCCTCCTTTCTTGGACCACCTCATGAGCCCAGTCTTCGGCCCTCTACCAAGCGGGATATACCTGAGGCCATACATGGTACGACAGAAAAACAAGCGGCAGGGTGGAAAAACATGACTGAGAATACATTCTGCAAAAACATCAACGCATAAGAGTACAACAGTGGAAACAGCCTTGAAGCATTGGTGCCGTCTTGACGAGAGCCACTTACATTTGGTTGACGTCGAACGGATCCTGGCCGCATCCTTCCCGGAGGCACTTGACGAGCTTGTTCAGCGCTGCCATGGCGCCAATAGGACCCGATTTGCCTGGTGGTAAATCCGGGCGCAGCAGTGGCAGCTCCTTCCTGGCGATGGCAGCCTGGTCAAGCTTGACGTAGTCACCTACGTACTTCACCAGGTCGTCCTCAACCTCTTGTGCAGGCCGGGAATACGTCCGAACGAACGGCGACCACGCTCTCTTTTTGGCCATTACCTCGGCCTCCATCTCCAACATCCCCGGGTTTACCCGCTTCAAGTGTGCCGCTACCTCTTCAACGTCCGGCTGGTACTTGGTGCGGAGAATTTGTCCAACCCCCGCCGCAAATACGGCCTTTCTTGGGTGGTTCTTCGATGTCGTGGCACCCACGAGAGTCTACGGAGCAGAAGGTAGCAACAGGCGGCGGCGGTGGCGGTGGACAAGCCATCAGTGTGCAGCGAGCGGAGGGCACGCGACGACAACGAACGGAGTGATTCATTTAAGAGGCGGCTAAATGTACAATCCTGGAGGATCTCGTCCGCAGCGGCTTCGGGCGTACTGTACCATCACACCTAGAATTTTGCACAAACTTCTGGAAACTCTTTGTTGCCTGCCCAAAGTGGAAAGAATCCGCAAGTGCCCTGCGCATCACTCCCTCGAAAATATCGAGTATCCACCCCTTGGTAACATCATCAGCCCCTCTACAGCAGAGGTCGTCGTGCAACCACTTCAGAGCGAGCAGCGTGCCGTTCCTCCTCCGTCTCTCCGCGTACCTGCGGCGTTGTGCGGGTGATGAGAACGAGTAAGAGCGGACTAAACGTGGCATCTTTCGCTACCACACATAGATGCTTTACGATACTCAACGCAGCTCTCGACAAAGGCATTTTGCGATAATTTCGCCGACAGTTGTTTCCGCGTATGTCCCGAGGAAACAGTTCCGCGACAATCTCGCCGACATTAAATTTGAGGATAGTGTACCTCTTCAGAAGGAGGTATATTTCCTCCTTCCTTTCGCTTTGCACAGCTCCGTACGCGTGAACCTTGGCGTCCTCCCCCAACAGGAAAAATAGGCAGTCCGGAGAATCAATGACCCTCAAACCGATGCGCCACGTGCCATCCATGCACAGGAACTGCCCCCCATACTGCGAGTGGATTTCGCGTTGCATGTGCTCCTTGTCCTGTGGATGACGACAGAACGCAACATTGTGATCGGTGTGGCGGCAGAGGAGAATCTGAACACGACGGAACAAAACCCGAGCAGACACGAGAAAACGCGCGAGTACCAGAAACGTATCCACGCTTCCTCCTCTTACATCGTCGTGCCCAGCCTTGAAAATCGTGTTCAACACGGCGATGGACGGAGTGGAGATGAGGGTCCCGCGGCTGAACTTTCAGCCTGGCCACAGGGCGTGCTCCGCACTCCGATGCTTCGCCGCAAACCGGATGTACCTATGCATTTCTCGTAGCTCTCGGCCTTGCACGCCTGCGACCAGGATCCTGCGATATGTCTTTATGTTCAGTGGAGCAAGCAACAGCAAACACGTGGGGCGGATAACCAACGAGTTTTCAGTGGAGCCACTCTTATCACAGCGAAAATCAAGGAGGACAAGCAGAGTGCAAACCAGCTGCCCAAACACATCACGATCGAAAAAAAAACGGAACCGCTGTCAGGTTAGGGTTGCACCTGTAGATCGCCCTCCGTCGCCCTCACTTGGTCCAGTAGAGTCTCTGACGTGCCATTTTGCCTAAAGTAGCGAAAGGGCAATCGCGAGACAACCTCCTCAGGTAGCAACTGCATGTACCTGCAAAGTTTCAGTGGTCGAGTGACCCAGGGAGAACATGTAATAATAGGCGATCCTTGTGCGCGTAATTTTCGCACTGCAATGCGATGCTAAGATTGAAGCTAAATACTATACGCTTAATAAAATCATCACCGTACCTGTCGTCCATTGTGGTAAAGGAAGCGCCGTTTGGGCAATGCTCGCGGATGGTGGCCTCGTCCCACCCGTCATGCGTAATGACCACTTTTTTTTTGTTGGCCGCCTTCTTGGCACATTCCAAGACGAGAGGGCACCCCGAGGCCGTGCAGGAATACCTGCCCGCCAACGGAACCACCACCCTGCCAACGTCGAGTACCGCGCGTATCTGCCGTAAGAAGAGCGCGAATTACAAAGAGAAGAATACGGAGTAAGACGGCATTCAGAACGTGT